TCCTAGTACACGTACAACGACGACTACTTTTTACAATTCTACAACACCAGCACCACCAGCGCTCCCGCGGCTCCTAATACTACTACTACTACTACTACTACTACTACTACTACTACTACTGCTACTCCGACTACTACTACTCCTACTACTACTCGCACTACCACTACTACGACTACGACTACGACGACGACGACGACGACCACAAATACTAGTACAAATACTGCTGCTACTACTACTACTACTACTAGTACTATTAGTACTACTAGTACTACTAGTACTACTAGTACTACTAGTACTACTAGTACTACTAGTACTACTAGTACTACTAGTACTACCAGTACTACTAGTACTACTAGTACTACTAATAGTACTAGTAGTACTAGTAGTACTAGTAGTACTGGTACTAGTACTAGTACTAGTACCTACTACTAATACTAGCACTACGGTTGATGATATAAATCCTGCATTACCCATAATACGGAATCTACCATAATTCCCATAGTTTATGCAGGTAATGCAGCAAATATATCATCAACAGTAATGTTAGTAGGAGGAGGAGGAGGAGGAGGAGGAGGAACGTTGTATTAAATTAAGTCAAACCCTTGAGAGTCCTCCCAACGCTCCCCTCCACAAACCAAAGAATCCTGTGAACCTTTCAATTTTACACCCCCCCCTGTTCAAACCAGAGAATCCTGTGAACCTTTCCTTTAAGACCCAATACACTGGTGTCTGGCGCTGGTCTGCCTCTCTGCTAACAGCAAAACTTAACTCAAGCCCTGCTCCGCGGAGCTTTCGTGACTTGCCACAGAAATCTCCAAAGAATGCTTTGCATCATCTTCTCATCACAACATTCGGAAGCATTGTGTTGCCACCCGCCTAGCTGACTGGCATGCCAACATCATTGTCCCATGTACCCTGGTCCTTCTCTTGCATTTCTTCATGCAGCTGCAGTGAGTACAGGTACTTCCTTCAAGCACAGATTTCAGCAACTCGCGACATATATCATGGGTGCGACGTGAAGGGATGGATGCCTCGCTCGATTGCACACTGAAGCCACCGCACCATAAGCGACCACGTTGGGCAGCACCTGCTCGAGTGAAGCACATCCTAATCTCTTATGGCAAGCTTGCGACAACTCAGGCCTGCAATTAACAGAACACAGAACACATCTGACGGCTACAGCCCTTCTGCACGACTCAAGTTTGCAAGCCCGTGTATCTCAAGTCTGTCCAGACTCTTAGGGCAAGCTTTCATCTTGGTATATTGAAAAGAATTCTTGGGAAAGACGGGGTTTGCATGCTGGCGGGCGGAGGAGCCGGCGGAGCCGTGTTCCGCTTTTTCGAAGCGCCTGAAAATAGGATCTGGGCAGGGGTGCCGTGGGAGGGACGGAGGAACCTGGGCGGGGAGGAGCCCGCAGGCTCGCCGTGGGCTGAGAGCATGGGACGTTCCGGCCAGAAAGTCACCATAGGAACCGCGAATCGCTCTCACTTGGACTGCAGCAGCACGCCTCCCGGGCTGGCATTTCGCGAAGAAGCCATAAAGCGCGCTGCCAATTGAAAGTCGTGATTACGCCGCCATAGAGAATGACCTGCACTGGAAAAATCGTTTCATGTCCAACTACCTGATGGCAAAGTGGACTGCATCCAGGAGCCTTATTCTTCTCCGATTTGTCGGCACCCGTGCGCTCCATTTCATGCAAGAACCAAAGGGCATAGCGCCACCTTGGCAACTAAGTGCCGATTGCAAGTAGAGGCATCGAAAGGATGGCATTTTCGGCGCTCACAACTGGGACAATTCCAGGCGAGGCGGCATATTATGGTTTCCTATTCCTCGTGTACACGCCAGGCAGCTGTTTGGCCCGGACACAGGCCGAAATGAGAGTTGCATACGTCACCCCCTTCACCGGAAGCTGTCGCGCCTGCTTCCAAGATGGCTTCCACATCATGCTGCTTTACAGAACTCTACAGCAGGCCATGCGCCTGCATTTCATTCAGCACTTCCTGAGCTCGAAGCTCAAACGGCTGTGCAGCTTGCGAAGAAAACAGACACGTGCTTGACTCGCCCTGGCAACAAGTTCAAGCTTTGTTGAAGCAATACTGGCGGCTGCCAAGGCTCCGTTGCCAACTGCCACTTGCCACCTCCGGAACACGCAAAGATGCCTTCCTCAAAGCTGGCTGCATCATCTCGAGAAACTTCCTGGAGAATAAACAGCGGCTCCATGTGCAACGCATGGTGCCCAGAAATGGCAAGTTTGGAGCTCCTCCTTCAACAGGACAAGGGCCTGTTCCCAGTGACAGGCAGCTTGAAACGCACCTCAAATTCGGAGGTTTTGTGAGTGCCGCCGTGCTCGCTATCCAGCACGACAACCCAAACACGGTCACTCGATTTGCTGTCCCAGGAACGCATGCAACTGAGGTGCATTTGAGGCCTCGGCTTCTTTCTCTTGGCAATGGGCTCTCATCTCAAACCCCTTTATGGGAGGCACCCACCCGACTGTGAGCTTGGCCTCTGTCCTTACTCCAGGCCTTTTCGAGGGCGACAATGACACTCACTCATGATGTGAGCCAGGCGTCGTTTGTGGCAAGGCCTCACAAAAGGAAGCCAACTCTGGCAGTCGAAAGCATTGCGATCCATGTGTGGTGCCTCTTCTCGCATTTGCCGAATCAGCTGAAGTGCTTGATCCGGATCGCCCGCCCTGGCTGTCAAAAAATCTTGAAGCACGGTTCTGCCAATGGGACTTCGACGCACGGGCCTGCCTCGCATTGGCCGCAACTGCCTGGCAGTTCTACAAAGGCTCCAAAGAACCTATGGTACCTCAGGTGCATGTCTCAAGACGAGCCTGGCTGTAAAGGCGCATCGGTGGCGAGAGCTTTCTCAAACGCATGTCGGCGAGCATTCGAGAGGCTGCCAATGCTGCTGAAGTTGAGCTTGCTTTGGAACTGGAACTTCTCATCTTCAGCAGAGAAACTGTTGCCTGACAGAGTGCCCTCATGGCACCATCGACACCCTGATCTTCACCCCGCATGGCTTGCTCCTCCGCTAACAGGCTGATGACCTGCTGCCAGTGATGGCCGGAGGACCATGCCTGATAAGCCGACTTGTATATCCTTGCATCAGCACCCACTGAGTCTCTTGACTCTGCGAAAACTCTCAAAGACATGCGCCATCGCTTCTGGTTCGTGAGGGCTGTCATCACTGAAGCAATGTCGGTCGTAGTCACTGCTTCGGGGCAGCGGCGTGCCTCTTGAAGCAGCCAGAGCACTTGATCCCAGGTGCCAAAGTTCGAAAACATGGATAAGAGGAGCTGGAACATCGGAACTCGGTCCGAGCGGTCTGAGCTGGAACGCTCAGCAGTGTGTGCCACGGACCAAAAAGTCAAGCTATCCCGACACTGTGCCCTGAATTCGGTGATCAATCCCAGAGCACGCTGCCACTGCCGTGCTCTCATGAGCCCCGAGGCTGCGTTTGCAAAGACTTCGCCAACCTGCTCCGGGGCGGCCTCCTCCACGGATTGCAGCAGGCGCCGGTGCAGCAGGAGCACTTCCCGCCACTGGCCGCGCTCGCTGGCGGCTGTCATGATCGCTTGGCTGGCATCGGAGTCGGACTCAAACACATCCATTAGCTCCTGCAGCGCTGCCCTCCTTTGGACCAATCTCCCGCGGGCTTCGGGCCAAGCAGGCCAGGCATGGTGACTCTGAGGCGTCGCTTGCCCGATCATCGCGCTGGACCCCTGATTTGCCGACCCCTATCTGCACCACTAGTACACCCAGTGCTCCTAGGTCCCACGTGGCTACTGAAGCAATCAAGTCCGGCATGAAGCCATCTTGGCTATTACAGCCGCTAGAATCTCAGCAAAGAACGTGAGGAATCTGTTGCCTTTGCCTGTGCCGGTCGGCTGCTGCTCCCGAATGGCTGCAACCAATGTTTGCGGCTGGGCACACAAGGAACACAAACAAGCGCGCACACACACACACACATGCACACACACACATATATATATATATATACACACACACGCACGCACGC